TAGGAGATTTCCTTCCCAGCTTGGTTCCCTTCCCTTTAGTGTTCATGCTATTTATTCTGGAATAGTCGCAGGCGAGGCCAGATTTTTTAAAATACAAAACCTCTGTGTGTCTGTGTGTAGGAGGAGAACAGGAATGCACACAGGACCATATTCTGGGCCCCCACCACCATCTCTGACTCAGAAATCACACTTTCTCCTCTGAAATAGGAGGCAATCCCACACACAGAAACGACACTATGAGATGTAAAACTTTTTTTTAAACATACTGTCTGGAATAATGGGCAACTTCCACTCCAAGAATCACCCAGATATTTCTGCCATAACCACAGGATCTGTACCATTTAAAAGTGCTGAATTAGGACCACCACCTCCTTCATGCATTTTCTGAACTTACTGCTGATTTTTGTTAGTTTGTTTCCCTTTCACACTCTATCCCACCCTTCCTCCACGAAGCTCAAGGACTTGCTCTAGCCAGGCACTTTATTCTCCCCAACAGCCCTGCTATGACTTGCCCAAGAGCACTCACCAAGATTTCTGGCTTGATGTGAACCTAGTTCAACCCTTGGTTCCAAACCAATATTTCAACCTATCACAATCCACATTGCTAACCCAGCTATACCCTATGGGAATTTCAACCAGAAAGAACTAAACAAAAAGGAAGTCCGTTTTGGTGCACTGTTTACTGTCGTAAAAAGGTTATTCCCATTGTTATAGATGCAGCAGGGCTCAAGGCTGAAAGAAACAGAGGCATGCTTGTTATCTCTACATACAAAACTCACAACCTGGATTTCACAAAAGGCTTTTCACAGTCAGCATGTGCATGAGTGCTTTAGACATCACTAGAGCACAGGGACGGAGCAGAGGTTACTTGGAATCAGAATCTGCCACGCCTCATTCCCAAACCCCATTTTCAGTACAAAGGTCAAGACACATGCATGAATGTTTACAAAATGACAGAAAGCAGTACCTCTGAGCATGAGCAGAGTACTGTTCCTTCTTTAGTTAATAACTCCCCTCAGCCCTTACGTACACCTGACCTTCCAAATCAAGGGATGCAGTCTTGATGCTACACTCCAGGCACCAGGGTGAGCAAACCATAAAAACAAATAATTCATGAAGTTTACTAACGGCTTCCAACCATACTAGCTAAATGGAGCCTCCATGTTCAGTATACACCAGAACACCACTCATGGGGGCGGAATATGAAGGAGGGCTTTTCCCCACCCCATACCTGTCTTGTGGGCTTCTTGGAAGCACATGAACAGCTACAGTTGGAAACAGTAAACTGGGCTAGAGTTAGATTTAAGTCCAGTACCACCATAGAGACCAACAAGATTTTTGGCATACAAGCTTTCAAGAGTTAAAGCTCTCTTTGTCAGTGAACCAGGCTAGAAAACGTGAACAACAATATGAGAAGAACTGTACTGGATGTCTTCAGAATTCATACACTTTTTAAAACAACTTTCCTACAAAGAATAAAGTTAGAGTATATAGAAGATCAAATCAGTCAATCCTAAAAGAAATCAACCCTGACTGTTCCCTGGAAGGCCAGATAATGAAACTGAAGCTCAAATACTTTGGCCACCAAATGAGAAGGGAGCACTCCCTGGAGAAGACCCTGATGCTGGGAAAGATTGAAGGTCAAAGAAGACGGGGACGGCAAAGGATGAGATGGTTAGACAGTGCCATAGATGCAACGAACATGAAACTGAGCAAACTTCAGAGGACGGCTGAAGACAGGAGGGCCTGGCGTGAGCTGGTCCATGGGGTCGCGAAGAGTCGGACTCAACTGTGCGACTGAACAAGAACAACAATATAGGTGTAAGGGAGGGAAGGTCGCATGGTACTGTCCAATCCGATCACATCCCAGAAGCGAAGCAGGGTTGGTACTTGGATGGGAGACCACCAAGGAAGGCCATGGCAAGCCGCCTCTGCTCCTCAGTTGCCTGGAAAGCCCCATGCTGGGGTAGCCATAAGTGGGTTGCAACCTGACACATACATATTTAAGTGTAAACAAGAACGTAAATACATAATATGGAAATAGAATTAGAGGTCCATCAGTGGCTATTAGCCACAAGGTATAGATAGGGACTCTGGGGCAAGTGATGCTCTGTCATCTTGGTGCTTGGGGGGGGTCAACAGTGGGAGGGCTTCTAATGTCCTGGCCCCACTGGTGGACCTCCTGATGGCACTGGTATTTCTGGCCACTGTGGGATACAGAGTGTTGGACTGGATGGGCCTTTGGCCTGATCCAACATTGGCATCTCTTATGTTCTTATGTTCTTATGTTCTTAATTCTGAACAAAACATAGGTAATATTCCTATTATTTCGAGCAAAATTCAGAAACAGTAGGTGACAATACAGAACACACCTAATTTGGGGAGGAGAGGAAGGAAGAGACCTGACAATATTCTCTGTCTCACTATTAGCAACTTAGATTCCAGCCTAGTAGCCCCTTAGAGACCAATGGAGTTTTTCAGGGTCTACGCTTTCAAGAGTCAACGCTCCCTTCATCAGACGAGAGCAGGAATGAAGATCTGAGACGATATACACCCTTTTAACCTACTTGATTCCCACAACTGCCATCCTCTGAAGGCAGCTGCACACTAGGAAAAGTTTCCTACACGGGTCATCGCCTCTCTGCAGGAAGTTGTGTGATCCCTTAATGTAGACTGTCATGAGAGGCAGTCAATGCATGCATTTTTGTGTACAAGAAGTGGGAAGCTGCCATTCAATGCACCACCATGCATATATCCAGAAAGTACATGCTGCCCACAAAACTTAAAGCCATTCAGTTGTCAGATGAGACAATCTATGCTCAGTGGCACAGCAGTTAGCACCAAGAGCCAAGCTTCTCCCCCCCCCAGTTTAAATCTCTTCACCACAAATTCACCTACTTAGGCCAGACACAATCAATCAATCACCTTCTTCCATTAATACGGCCTACTTTACAGGACTGTTGTGCGATTCATCAACGGAAATAGAATTCTGAACAAAACATAGGTAATATTCCTATTATTTCGAGCAAAATTCAGAAACAGTAGGTGACAATACAGAACACACCTAATTTGGGGAGGAGAGGAAGGAAGAGACCTGACAATATTCTCTGTCTCACTATTAGCAACTTAGATTCCAGCCTAGTAGCCCCTTAGAGACCAATGGAGTTTTTCAGGGTCTACGCTTTCAAGAGTCAACGCTCCCTTCATCAGACGAGAGCAG